ACAACCATTATCCTCAGTTTAAAGATCAAATTACCAGAACCTCTCCAAAAAAAAAATAAAAAGATAAAATAACCAGAGAGAGAGAGAGAATTAATAAGAGAGCAAGAGGGATATCATTTTCATGACAATTATACAAACTTGAAAGAGCATAGGAACACATACCACACAAGGCCATCATGCTATAATGAAGGTGCTGCAGAATAGAGGAAGTCTAAGGTCAAAATGGTTCCTGAAGAAGATGGTTTACATTAGTGGGGAACAGAAATGTCTTATTACCTGTTGATGTTGGCATGTATAGTATTCTCAACTGGATTGATCCGAGAAGTATTTCATGATGGGTAAAGTCTTTTTACAAGCAAAATGAGAAATAGTGATTGACTGTTTAAAATATAATTAGAATAATAATAATAATGATTGGGAAAAACATTGAAAAGATATTGAATGATGAAGTGGGGAGATTAATGTCTCTGTATTGACTGACATGTGGGCATTCCTCTTTGAAAAAGCAATGTAATACACTATAAAGTTATATGCAATCCAATGTATTATAAACAAGATTATGATAATAATAAAAAATAAATAAATAAAAAAGATGTTTTGGAAGAATGGTGAGGAGCTATGTAGGAGAAGTGAAGATAAGGCACTCAAATGTTAAGGAGAAAGAACAAATCTTAGTACACTATGCTTCTCTACCTCTGTTGCCCACCATGAAAAAAAATCTTTTTCCCCCCAAAAATGGAGACAATTGGTACAACAGAAACATAGCCTTCTGCACCCATCCAATTGCTCAAACCAGAAACCTAGGGTTTATCCTTGATCCTGCCCTGTTGCTCACTCACATTGTTCAATCATGAATTTCCACAAATGCTAGGGGTCAGGTGCTCTTAGGTTTAATTCAGCTAAGCATTCGGATCAACACTCTGCACTGGCCTCCTTGGAGGGAGATGGGGCAGGAACCAATCCTGCCAGCTGGGTAGCATCTGGCATCTGGCTTTTTTCTCCATGGGAGTTCATAGGGATTACAGCTGTACAATTGTCTATGGGTTATCTTTTCTTCAAATAGTACAGCTCAGAAGTGTTGAGATGAGATCTGCATTGCTCAGATGTGGAGGATTCTCTGGCTTAGAAGTCTCCCACAGATGACAAAATCTCTCCTAATCTTTCTGTAAGCATAGCATTCAAGGTCCCATGCCTGTTGACAGAGTTAAGGCACTTAATGAAACCAGAAGCATGCCAGTCGTAGCAGCAGTTTATGATTCCTTCCAATCTAGTAGAGCCTTATCAATCATAGCTCACTATTTCCATGAGCAGTGTTGCCTGGTAACACTGGCATGGCACCATCTTCATCTGTTTCTAGGAAACTGGAGATACTTATTTAACAGAGGTTGGATTCTCATAGCAGAATAAAGGCTTTGCTAGCCTGTCACCCTCAGTGCTTCTAATACTTTCTCTAATACATTCAAATTTCTCCTTCTCTGTTGCCCTCCATTAAGCTAAAGCAACTCTCCTTCACTAGGATCATCTTCTGCTATCCATATTTATCCACCAGCTCCACAAATGCACATACTCTCCCAGCAATACAGACTTCACTTGACAACCATGTTAAAAAAAAATAATTCCCCTTTGTTCATGATAGAGCAGGTGTGTGTGTGTGTGTGTGTGTGTGTGTGTGTGTGTGTGTGAGTGAGGAAGAGAAAGAGAAACAGAGAGAGAGAAGCACCCTTCACAAGGTCTGGTCACACTGCAATTCCCTTCCTTGAGTCTTCCAGTCCATCAGATCCTAGGCACTCACACACATGCTCAGTGTGTTTTGAACTAACTGGGTCAGAAATTCAAACCATTGTCACCATATGGAATCCATCTTCTCCTGAGCAGTACATTACTACTGTAGCATGGAGCCGGCCCTCAGAAGTACTTTGTAAAATATTATGCCATGATGATATTATTCAAGACTGCCTTTGGTTTCCTATTGTCCTTTGAGCAAACCCCCAAGTCATTAACATGGTTTACCACATGTCACATTCTTCTCTCCTTGGCTTTCTAATCTCTAATCATACACAGTTTATCTTTAGTCTCAAAATATTCCTGGAGCATGTCACACCTTCTCTTTCTCTTAAACACCTCAACTACAAATTTGGAAGAATTTCCACATTAAAAAAAACTTAGTAGAAATTGAAGAGAAGAATCTGAAGACCAGAAGAATGACTGGCTCTGAGAAGTCATCTTGAGAGACATTGATCTAAAGGTGAGTGTGGGAGAAACTGAGATTACTCCAGGGCAACAAACAAGAGGCAGAAGAGACATCCAAAACTCATACCTATGAAACACTAGGTTTATTGTTAAGCTCTGGGAACTGAGCAAGAAAAAGTGATGCAGCGATTATGAGAGAAGCAAAAGTAAAACAATGTGAAGGTACACCTGAGGCCCAAGAAAACTTCCCGGGGGTTTCAGAGAGAAGTAACTTTAACTCTATTCTAAAAGTGTTTATGGAGACTGAGAACTGAAATGTGCCTTTGATTTGGATCCCATTCATATGTGAGGTGTGCTAATGAGGAGGGCCCATGCTTCTAGAAGCAGTCTATCCCTAACAACTGATGGGGATGTAAGAATTGTGGGATTTTTTACATCTCTCTTTTGAGCTGAAGTTGCAGTTGGCTACAGAAAGAACTGCAATAATTGTCTGACCTCTTTCCTCTTCCAGTTTCCAACTTTGCTATTAGTATTTCCATTACTTTCACATAAATTGCTTACAACGAAATCCTTTTCTTAGAATTTGATTTCCTATAGTTAACCTAGAAAGAATACCAATCTCTGGGGTAACTATATTTTTCATTGTAAATCAAAGAAGTGATATCTTGGTTTATACATTTGGTCTTTTACCAGTTTGGTTCATGAAGTCTCTTCCCCCCAGGACACAGACCATTCTGTGTAGATGGACTACACAGAGACTGTGGATTATGCAGGCTGACTATTATTCAAACAGTACTATTGTGAGATGCTGTCTTGTTTACTCACTTAAAACTTGACTTCATGTGAGAGGCAGATAGACTTGTTTTTATCTTTTATTTCCTCCCCACTGTTAGAGATAAAGAAAGATTTGTGGAGAGGACAAATATAAATCAATGGGTACAGAGATATAACAGCTTTCTACAATATCAATCAGTCCAAAAAAGATACCAAAGAAGTTAGGTGAGAAGACCCATGAAAGGTTAACAGTGCATGTCAGAGGGAAAAACAATAATAACACTAAGAGCATAGATGTGTATATGGCACTTTCTAAGTGCCAGGCAGGCTGTATTTGCATCCGGAGATTTCAAACATTTTGTGGAAAAACAGAATTCAAGTACGAGTTTATTTAGGTGCAAACAGTTTTGAGTCTTGCATAGTTTTTTTCATAATACACATTTTTCATGAACATTCTTTTTAATTGCCAATGAGTACATGTACTCATTAGGGAGAGAGAGAGAGAGAGAAAGTAACCCCCTCCAATAGGGCATGGAAATATCACAATCCCTTCTCCCTTTATTTTTTTTAATCACACATTGGGATTTTGGGTACTCACACATAGGCACCCAGCATGTTTTCAAACCACTGGGGCTGATATTTGAACCACATAGTTGGCCATTTAGGATCCAGCTTCCTTAACCAGTAAGCCATACACCCAGCTCTTCATGACCTTTTTCAAGATCCCTCATATTGTTGTGAGAATTAGAGTTAAAATATGTTATTTCTTAACAAACAATAAGACTACGGTCTACTTAGATAGTCCTTGTCACCAGTACAGTGAAGGAAGGATCTAACCTTAAAATACTATTGACAAAATATGAAAACAATTTAATAATGGCACAGAGAAAAATCTATGAACTGAATATCAGTCCTGGCTGGTGTGCCAATTTCTAGTTAAGGGGTGTTAATGCCTCCAAACACTCAGCTGCCATTTTCCATTTCTGAAATTAAGAATAGAAACAATCTCTAAGGATGGCTAGCATGAAGGTGGCATGAGAAAAAATCACCTTGTACAACAGATATTTTAAAAGACTTTTCTCTTGGTCACAGAAAAGAAAAAAGGCAACTATTTTTGGTCAAATTGTAAGTGTTTTGTAGTTGGTTGGTTACAGATACAATAGGAATGTAGATGAATAAATGTTAGGGAGATAAATGATATAGATAGATAAATAGATAATAGATAATCTTAGATAGAAGGTGTCCCAGACTTCAATAAGACATCCATTTTTTTTTACCCCAAAATAGTTCCCAGTATCTTACAATAATTGTCTTGAAGAGATATAACTGTATTCTTTCAATATGATTCCATGTTGAGCTCAGTTCAATTGTACTAGAAACCTGGAAAGAGCTATGATAGGCATGCATCGATCTCTACAGCATAAAGCTCCTCAAGACTGAAATGTAAGAATAATGTTGACCTACATCCCTTCACCTAGATGAGGCTCTGGCCAGCATTCTTCTTCTGAAACTCTAAAGTTTGTTGTGCTATCTTTGCTGACTACCCACTACCTGCCTCACTCATTCTCTGAGCAGTTGATTGCCTTCAGGAAGCTCCTTTTTCAGTCTGAGAGCCATCTTAGAAACTGAGTGTATATCTCATTTGATTCTGTAAACTTAAGAGTGTAATTTCACTGCTTTTTTTTTTTCAAGTTTGTGGGTGATACTTTTCTTCTCAGTGTTTCTGAGCAAAGTAATGAAAATCATGTTAAAGTGTTGGCTTGCAGCAAAGCCTTTAGCTATCCTAAAGTGTCACAGCATTTAGTACTTAGTTTAGACTCAATGTTTTATCAATAATGTACTGTGGGCTACCTTCTAAAACAAGTTCAAGGAAATAAAGGTCATTACGGTCCTAATATTGCTTTTAGATCTAATGGTATATTGCTTTTTGTTTACATTTTTAACAGCAATTTTTTTCAAAAGGATGAGGAGAGTTAGAAAGCTCAGATGAAGCAAGCTGCATGCAGGTAGCAGGAGGCTGTGAGAACTGCTCCCACCTCCGCAGACCACACCCTCGAGGTCCTCGCAGCGGCGGTTGTCACACTCGCACATCTTGCCGTACACCCTGCGATCTCCCGGAGGGTAGCAAGTGCATTTGCCACATTCACATTTACCTGAAAAGTGTAAAAGAAAGAACTCTCAGGAGAGTCACAAAATCAGAAAGGTTGCCAAGGAAACAGGTATACCATTCCACTCAAACCTCCTGGACCAGTTCCAGGCTATGCCTGTGAGCAGTTCAGCAAATGACTTCTAACCTTCCTCACTAATGTAAGCTGAAGGTCAAGCACAGACACCAAAGAGGTTGGAAGCCCAGATCCAAATAGTTGATTCAGAAGTCAATCGTGTTTGCTCCATGTTACTTTTTTTCACTCATTTCTGAAGAATAATTCAATTATGAAACTTGGCCACCTCATATTCTACTTAGTTTGATGATACCATTTGAAATAACTGAATCAATTTTACCCATTTTGTCATAAAGTAACATAGCTTTTAAAATATTTTTATGTTGGATCTATCTGCCATATGAAAACAAAAATGTTCATAGACTCATTTCAAAGCTTTATTTCATTAAGTATTTAAAGTCATTTTCATCATTCAAAATAAATCAATTTAACACATAATGTGTGCCAAGATATACAACCTACTTACCTTTATTATTCTTGACTTAAAATGTAAAAGTACACACATTTTTCAGAATAAGTTTGGTTCATACTTTGGGAATCCCTTAACAGGTAAAATGGTGATATTTTCCTCAATATTTCTGGAGCTATAACTATGTGTCAAACACTACAATGTCTCGCATTACATCATTTTGTTTGGGATAATACCACACACCAAGTAGCAGTGTCATTATTATTTTACTGAAGAGAAATCTAAGACATATTGAGGCCATGTAACTTCCAGCTAGAAAGGTGGAAAGACTCAAAATTTACACCCATTCTCAATGACCTTAAAGCTTGCACACCTAAGTTAAGCCATGTGTATTGTGATATATGCATAATTCAACATCAGGAGGCAACATGAGAAAGCAAATTCCTTTTGTCTAAAGAATTCGTACTGATTTGCCAGAAATTCAGCTGGGCTACAGGCTCTGAGACATCTGCTACTCTCTGTCATTAGCCCCGCCATCATAATTACACACCCACTGAAACGATCGTGAGATGCTGCCGAGCTGACCTTGCAATGTGGTTTGTCATTCTGTTGCTGCACTTACATCTTGTTAAAGAAATTCTGAGTTGGTAGATGATGGAGGAAAGAGAAATTGGTATTTAGAATCATATAATTTCAGAGCCGTAATTAAAGATAATCTAATGCAGTGATTCATAATCTTTGCTGGCAGAAGTGTGGAGCCACAGTTCTTTGAGGATCTGATGAAAGATATGGCAATAGATAGTGCTGTTCTGGCTGTCCTTCAACAAATCTCTCTTTCTTCTTGGAGGTAGTCCCAAGTGCAGCAGGAGACAGGGATCCTCCCCCATGGTTCCTACTTCCTATATCCTCTAGGCCACAACAAGGACGTGCCAAACACGCTTGTGTCAGAGGTTGATTCTTGAAGATGAAAGCAAAGGCATAGGGCCCATCACAGAGCTGCAGGGAGTGTCCGGGAGCACAACGACTCCAGCCAGCTCTCAGAAGGATGGCAGCAAAGCTAGGTCTCTGCAGTGCCTTGCTTCCCCAGGTTGCTGTAGGAGCTGATTGTTCAAACTTGCATCTGAGCTTGAACCTTTCTAAAAGAAAATCCTTTTATATCCTAAATCATAAAGTTGGTGTCTATCATTTTCAATCAAGAAACTTAACTGGGGACCGAGGTGAGTTTGGAAAGATGTTGATCAAAAAATACAAAATTTCATCTGGGCAGGAGGAAAATGTTTAAGAAATCTATTGTACAACATGGTGGCTATACTTGCTAGCAGTATAAGACATAAGAGATGTTAAGCGGTCTTGCTCCCCAAAAATACTATGTGAGGTACCACATATGCTAATTTGCTTGATTTGGCCATTCCACAAAGTAGACATGTTTCAAAACATCATGTTGTCCATGATAAATATATATAATTTGTATTCATCAATTTAAAAATTATATTTTAGTCTTTTAAAAAAGAACCCTAACCAGCAGATCTCAGACCTTTCCTTGGAAAACAGTATGGACACACAGTTATTTATTTTGTAAAATGTCAAGAGGATCCATGACTTCCCTCAATCTACTACATGGATAAGGGCACTCAAGCATGCTGGGCCTAAATGATTCTCCTGAGGCCAGCTAGCCAGATATTAGCAGTGCTGATGTTAGGACCTAGATCTTCAGAGCCTTAGTCACCTTTTGATGTGCATACACACTCCAGCTCTCTTCACAGGTGGATGTGGGAATGATCCCAATAGTGCATACTGTGCTGAGAAAGACACAAACAGCAGGACCATCAGCAGATGGTTAACTATTATTCCTTCATGGACAGAAGTAGGAAACTGCTACACCAACTGGATTATTCCTGAGAGGTAATGCATTCCCACTTAAAATCAGGCCAGCTGCAGTGATGCAGCAGAGGCAGGGTTCTCTGAGATGCTGAAGCCACAAGGAAAATTCCTAGGTTCCTGTCCAAAGTCTACCTATAGACATCAGGCATGTACATGTGCTCCTGGCTGGTTGAGACTGGGTGTGGATCGGGGCATGGGATACCTGTTGAGGGAATGCCCCTTTCTTTCTCTCTCTGTCTCTCTCTCTCATAAGAAATAAATTTAAAAAAATCAAATTTTAGGTTTCAGGTCATACATATTCATGGTGATATGTCCATTCCCATTTTTAAGACATACAGTAATTTTCCTGAACGTGCATCATGGGCTTCTTTGGAAAGATTGAGATGAACACTGGCATAGGTATCCAGGTATTCACATTTCATAAATTTCATCATGGATAGTTTTTGTCTCCCACTACTTGTACAAAATTGGATAGCAAAATGTTGATATTCTGTCCTAGGAACATTTTCTTTCTTGTTAGATTGTACTTCATCTATCTTTTTCAGGTATCAGAAAATAATTAATCATTTTGAGAACTTTATTTTTGTTTTCTGAGTACTTATTGGAGCTTTTTTAATGACATATCAAAGGAACTATTAGCTGAATTCACTTTGTGCATGCATTCCTAATTCAGTTTAGGACATAGTGGCTTCTGATGGAAAGGCAACACATCATGTATCAAAACAGGATAATTTATTGCAGATAGATATAAGGAAAATTAAATTCTTCATGCAGTCCACATTAGATATCCCTGTCAGTGGGTATGGTAAAAATTAATACTACTACTACTAATAATAATAATAATTTCATGAGAAATAGAAGGAAGAAACAAACTATTACTTCACAGAAAAGTGTGCGTGTGGAAAATATAAAACCCTATTAACAATTCATATCATTAGGAGAGTATATGAGTTGCCACATACCAAATGCGTATACTAAAATCAATTGCTTATGAATATACTAGGATTAAACAAGCAAAAATTTAAGGAGATTTAAATAAGTAGAGAGATACTTTACATTTATTATTCAACACTATTAAAATGTAAAATACCCCAACGTTGAATCATAGCTTCAATCCAATCAAAATCAAAATCTGACCAGAAATTTTGCAAAAATTGGAAGCCAATTACAATATACAGAAATGAGAAATGCCAATAACTAAAACACGTGTGAACAACATGAAGATAGTAATATCTTTTCTAAACCTTTTATGAGGATTATTGTAAAAAAATAGTCATTAAGAAATTATGTTTTCATTGCAGAAGAGTCTAAGTGCAATAGAATAGAGACCCCAGAAACAGACTCTAGCATAAGTGACTGCTTTATTTTTATAAAGTGGCACTGTAGATTAATACAGAAAGGTTCCATTTGGCATAAATGGTGCTTGGATTAATAACTGTAAAAGACTATAGATAATTATAAAAATCAACAACTTGGATTATAATTATGAGCTTTATTTCATTGAAAAAATAAGACTGAAGGTGAAAGATTAGATGAGAGATGATATATGCAACAAAAATATGAAGGAGATTCAAAATGTTCAAGACAAATGTGTATTGTGAAAAAATGCATGAAATACAAAGTTTTACTGCACCAAAATATACATGTATTTAATTCAATTTTCCATGAACTTTTTGAAGTCTATTCATATCTGACAACTGTCTCTCATTTGAAATATTTAAGAGTCTAACAACAACAAACACATTCACTCCATTAAAGATGTGAACAGGCAGGCCTACTCACTGGTGCAGCAGTAACATGGTACTCAGAAAATACTGTAACCACATAGAAGATTACAAGTTTATTTCACCAGCTGACCTGTCAATGCCAGAGGCCCATGCCCATGACCCTGGCTTGCAAGGATAGCTCATAGTGACTGGAAGAATGGTTCGTTGAGGATGCTTGTCTTCCTCTCTCTCTGCCCTTCATTTTCGTAAGAGAAATAAACAAACTTTAAAAAAAAGAAAAGATATGGACAAGAAATCTGAATGGGCACTTCAGCAAATACGTAATCAATATGATCTGTAAAACTAGGAAAAGTTGCTCCTTCTCTTGAAAAACTGATCATAATAAACTTTGACACTCATTTGGACATACATGTCTTATACAGTGGGTAGAAGTATCAATTGCTAGAATTATTGGGAGACTATTTGGCATTATCTACTACATTGATATACGTAATCTAAGAACCAGAAATTCAGTTACTTGTCATGTTTCCAAGAGAAAAGCATACATGTATGCACCAGGAAATGTTCCAGAATAACCATAGAAATACAGTTCCTAATGGTCTCAAAGAAGAAATGTCTCAAATGTCCATTAATTATAGACTACTTACATGTCAGTGAGATTCTAAAATGGGACACCAAAGAGCAATTGAAATGAAGAATAAAAAAATACATGCAATGTTAAGCCTGAATCTCTTAAGAACATAATGCAGAATGTAAGCGGTCAGCCACAATATAATGAATACTGTTTGATGACATAATTCCAAAACAAGTAACTCTAAACATCATAGTGTTGGGAATATATACTTAGATGGAAAATATTAAGGAAAGTTATGAAGGTGATCACCATGAAAGTGACAACAATGGTACTGTGAAAG